GGTGAATCCATTGGCTGTGGCTCATTTATATTTATCGCGCTTTCCAGTTTCGTGACTATGACCATATCGGTTGACTGCATCGAAGCAGCTTCTTAATACAACCTATTTAAATAACGAATTTGGAATAAAAATTGCACCAGGCCATATTTAAGTGCATGATAAACGAAATTAGAGTATCAATTATACATATACCATTCTCTTGGCTCTCGCAGACAAAGGTTTGTCGTCGACAGTATTGTATATTTTGGAATTGCAGCGAAACCAATTTCGTCGGTAGCTAACCGTGGTCTTACCAGCAAACTCTATCTTCGCAAAGTATGCTGAACATTGGATCTCATTGCTCGTTTAAGGTGCACGAAGTCAACCCGTCTCCTTTTCGCTTCGTGCATCTCTCCTCCAGTATAAGGTATAAAATGAAGTGAAATGCCTTTCTCTGTATTTGTGACATTAGAACAACCGCCTACTACACATATATTCGGCAATTTTTCAGTTTCGTGACTTTTATTTGCGCTATTGCCTCCTCTATGATAGTACATGCAATAGTATTTCTATATTAGTGAGCTAGATAAGTCCCAATCTCGTTCCCCGAGCATGCCCGTTCACCCTTACTAATAACCTGTGAACGGGCATGCTCGGGGAACGAGATTGGATAAGTCCCTACTATTACGTCACACGCATTGTTTCGTCCCAGTCTCTTTTGCGCGGTTTTCAGATTTTTCACAAGGCCAAATTCAATGTTTAAACGGCAATAACTTTTACACTAAAAAAGCAAGTTCGATTCTGTTTTCGAATTTCCGTATATTTTGTATCGTAGATTTCGAAAATATAAACTCTCATTTTGTGACAGGGACACTTTAAAAGCCAATCAGCTAGGCCTTGATCTCAAACTGCGAAAAAGTTCAAATACATTATATAAAATACAAATATATGCAAGAGAGAAATTTCTGATAGAAAAAATAATGTCATTAGCATTTGTTGACGAAAGATCTTCATTCTTCAATGAGTCAATCATGTGCATCGTCTGCTCACGTGAGATCAAGTAGTCATGTATTTCGCAAATCAGAAATTTCGCGAAACCAGTCAGACTCTCAACAATTTGAAACACAATTCAACTACATTCGAAGTTCATTACTATTATTCTGAAAAATCCCAGGAGAGGAAAATTTCTGTAAAGTACTATGAACTGAAAATCATTAGAAAACGTTTGACTACGTAGTTTAGCTCGCGTTTTAGCATGGATAGTTAAAAAAAAGGACAGGAAACAGCTGGCGCTATAGCAGACGTGACTTATTTTAAATACGATTAGAGTGGCATGGTTGTATTCTTACGGGGTTTTTTTACTAAAATGCTCTGTTATTAATATGTCGTTTATGAGTATCTCACTATATTCCCAACAGGCTATCGCTCAATGATAGGCCAGGGGATCCGAGGTACTTACGATTTTAACGTCCTTATCCGAGAACACGCGAGAAATCTAATCATTTACTGATGTCAATGTCAATTAGCATTTTCTCAATTATTTTAAGACCTTATAGTAGAGGTCTGGCCAAGGATTCTTCCAGCTTGAAAGGCAAGCGCTGATCATGACACCACAAGAGCTGATTAAAGAGCGGGTTATTATTCCTAATTGTGGAATTATTTTGGATATAGTGACGCCTCAGTTTCCTATCCAGCACGGTTTTATGATCTATGGTCTTAGCAACCGTGTATTACGGTGGATTTGTTCGGATCGATGACCATGTGTTGAACGTATACTGTGTGCATGTTAGGGCAAATTTTATGGCAATTTCATTTTAAGACAAAAGGACAGAGAAAACGTAACTATTCTTCCAAAGAATATGTCTTGAACAAAACATTCATTCTTTTGCGTCAGTTGAATGAATCACCGATCACGTACGATATCAAATGTGAGTGCGTTTAAAATAAAACGGTGAAATAAAACGCCCGCTTGCAGACAAAGTTTTTACAGTTTAGTTCTTGCGGTTTATTTATCAAGAAGTATATGTGCGATGAAAATGGGTATACTGTATACACCCTTCCAGAAAGTACGTCACTCTGGCTATAGAGCCTCGCTTTCGTGTTTGTGACTTTGGATAAAACCCGACGTCTCAATAATGAAAGCGAGGCTCTATAGCCATGCAAGATAACGTACTTTCCGGAAGCGTGCATTCTATTTGAGAAATCAAGAAATAGCGAGATAAAGTAATATACTATACAGTATTGACACTTTTTGATGACTCATGCTTATATTCATTCTCCAAACTCTGATTTAATTGCTTTCGAAAGACAGTTTGATCACTTTGCCTGTTCAAGGTCTTTAAAGTGCCTATGACACGAAATTTCACCCCAAATGTTTATGATTGCATTATAAAGATCACTTAAAATGACTTGATAATTTCGTTTATAGAATTTTGGTAACTTGCTTCCTTTGCAAGACATTCAACTTTGTTTCACATGCAAATATCACTGGTGTGACATCACATCGCATAATGACATTTTGAAAACGCAATATTTTACCTTGATAAAATATTTTTACAAACAAATACAGAGGGTTAATTACCAGTTATGAAATTAATACATATACAAGAGCAATCTTTAAGTTTTTTAGGTACATATTCGTCAAGAAAACTATATTTTTCTGAAAACTCATTATGTCACACCGGTGATATTTGCATATGAAACAAAGTTGAATATCTTGAAAAGGGAGCAAATTACCAAAATTCTATAAAAGAAATTATTAAGTCATTTTAAGTGATCTTTACAATGCAACCATAAACATTTGGGGTGAAATTTCGTGTCATAGGCACTTTAAGTTCGAGGCTGAAAATGTAAGATATAAAGAAAACCCTGTTTCCAGTACTCACCTTGGTACTACCATATGTGCGACAAACGGACAATATTTCATGATCAGAAAGACTTGACGAGTATTTCAAAATAAAGTTTCTACACGGAAAAATCAGGTAAACTGTGATTAATCATATCATTCAATACACTCTTTCGGAAAGTACGTCACTTTGGCTAAAGAACCTCATTTCAATCATGAAAGCGCCCCAGTATAGCCAAGGTGAAGTACTTTCCGGAAGGGTGCACAGCATTGGTATTTCATAATTGGACATTAACACAATTAACAATTATTCGCCGAATGCGAGGTGATTATCGGTGAATAAAAACCGAGACGAAGTCGAGGTTTTTATTCACGATAATCACCGAGCCTGAGGTGAATAATTCTTTTAGTATAATTTCATAGGTGATTATTTGGAAAAAAATAAAAAATAGACATTTCTTCGTCATTTAATTTGACAAAACGGCTTCGGCTGCCATTTTGAAAATCGCTTAGGTGATTATCGCGTAATAATCACCTCAACGGCAACCAATCAGCGTGGAGAATTTTCAATAATCACCTATGTAATTATACTAATATAGCATAATGCTTTAGCCTGTGCACAGCATGAAATTCTTGCTAATTTCAATAATTAATAATGCTTATACATGTAGTAAAAATATTTACTGAAGTTTCAAAATTGGTGAAATCTTTCTACTATAAAGTTTTACGATTATAGAGAGCGTCTGACCCATAATTATCAATCCGGATTGCTCACCCTCGGTATTAGTATAGTATAGTATTAAGATATTCAATAAATATAACGGTTAAGATGAAGGAATGAAAAACGTACAAAATCGATCAACCAAAATATTAAACTTTATATATGTAAAGCAACAAGGCATTCTTCGGAACCCCGCATCCTTCCTTGCGCTCTCGCATGGGACACGCTAAATCATGTATATCGCTGGCTGTCAAGTAAATGCCGAAACACTCACCTGAAATTATCGTAGCTTATATATCCTGAGTCTTGTGGATCTGCTTGAGCAAAGAATGAACGAACATCTTCGAGATGTTTGTCTGTTATTTCTCTCAGTTTTGACAAAATGATCGGAACATTGGCTTGCAAGTATTCTTTATTGTTCTTTTCAATGTAATACACAGCATACTCATCAGCATCGGTGATGATAAACTTGTGTTTCAGGAATTCCACGTGAGCACCAATAAAAAGATCCTATATATAAAGCATGCGTTATATATATTTGCGAAACTCATTAATAATTCATGAAGAAAACAGAAAAGAAAATACAGGTACATATACATTTAAATTGGTATTTCAGTTGCTGTATGTTAATGATCTACTGTCTTTGCAGAATCCGCACATTCAAACAAAAAATTTCTCCCAAATCTGAACTACATTTCAGCAAAACTGAGACCAAGTTAAAAAAGTATTCTTCCTTCCCTAGAACTTTAATACTGTAAATATTATGATCATTCCTAAAATGAAGCAAAAGAAGTGAATTAGCTACGTACCCGAGAACTGTAGTAGCCTGATCCATCAGGTACTTTGATACGACTCCGCTCCAAAAATTTCCCTCCAATAATGCCGGAGTTTCGCTGAGGTGGTTCATAAACAAGTATTGTATCATCACAAAGGAAGTAAGATATTATGAAATGACGGTTGTGATCAATTGGACGGTCAGAGTCCATCTTTGCCATAAACCGAAGAACGTTACTGTCTAGACCATGTCTATAAATGATAAAAATACACACATTATTAAGGGAGCTCGAGGAGTGTCCGCCACTGGCCAATTGATGTATTCAAATAATATTAGAAATTTAAGATCAAACCTGTCTTTTTCCATGAATTTAATGAAATCATGTTTCGGAGGTTTAGGAATGAGTCCAAGACAGGAACATAAAGAATCCTCTTCACTCCCAAATCCATTGTACGGAGGAATTTCGCGTGGCTTCGGCTGCCCTGGATCGGACTTGTATTTGATTGGTTGAAAGTCGTTTACACCAAACTTTGTTTGATAATGTTCCTTGGTGTATTCATCACAATCAAATAATAAAAACTTTCTACCCCAGACATTGATAACGCTACCAATTGTAAGATCAGCATCCGTGTAATAATTGATATGAACTGCTCCTGTCTTTAAGCTGTCTAAAATCCATCGACCACCGTGACCCATTGGTCCAAATACATTTAGCACCGTACGACCAGTCATGCGTCCTGGTTGCAATGTTGATACTGGTTCCTGTAATGATAATGTAAGATACTGTAGTGTAATGATAATGCATGATTACTTCAGATAATTCTGATTACTAATTTCCAAGAACAGGGGCGGGTTGTATAAAAAGCTTAACTATACTTTGTAACTGCCCGTTTTGTAGTTAAAATAAACTACTTTTTATACAACGGGCCCCAGGAAGAGTGGAAGACATAATGCCATGAGGTGAACGTTGCGAATACCATCTTTTGCATATAAGTACGGACAACGTCGCAGCTAAAAACATTGTCTATGCTCAAATGAAATTTTCATGTCAGTTGTAACGAGCGTTTGACAGGTTTAAATCTGATCAGCCAATCACAATTAACTGGGCATAGGCTGATTGGCTATAAGCTATAATCTTCCCATTTTCAAGAGTTTTTGTAGATGGAAATTTCGCTTCAATGTTCTGTTTCATCGAATTACGAGATGCCTGAAATTTAGAATTTAAACTGACCGAGTTCACTGCACTGTCACCCAAAATAATCTCCTATATGAACGCCATTTTAGAGGCATTTTTAGAGGCTAATTCAGTTCATAACTTTCCCGGCCTTTTCACCTGCTTGCCGCGGTGATGCCTTCTGTACTAACTTCCACAACTGCTTGTAATTTGCCAAATCGTTCTGGCTATTACTTTAATAAATCACCTACTGTACCTTTGGTAACTTCTGCCTTCTCAAAAACATGGGAACTGCATCTCTGCCAACATTAGCTCGAATTATTTCACGAATTTCAATGGTATCGTCAGCCAAGAAGTAATGTAGAACCATTTCTCGCAGATCACCGAACATGCTAGAAACAAATAAGTCAGATTAAGATAAATATTAATGCCCAGCAGTATTTTCTGCTGGCATTAATATTTATCTTAATTAAGTCAGATTAAGCCTCGAGTAAAAACACAATCGAAAAAGTGCATCAAGAAAAATTCAGGATTAATGGAAATTACTTCATGTATATATATATATATATCTATATATATATATATCTATATATATATCTATATATATATATATATATATATATATATATATATATATATATATATATATATATATATATATATATATATATATATATATATATATATATTATGAAAATAAATGCAGACTAAAATGTTACATGTACTGTGCTTGGAGGTTGCGAGATACGACTTTATGTTGAGATGACTTAACCGTGCATATCGTTTGAAATTTTGCTTATCAAGTATTTCAACACGGTAGTAATTCGATGAAATGATACCATTGGTTGATTGCTAAATTACGTCAAAACATCAATACATCTGCAACTCAAATAGATAAGCTTAAAATATTTTTAGACATTTTATAGTAGTATAGTAAGTTGTAGATATTTATATATATATATATATATATATATATATATATATATATATATATATATATATATATATATATATATATATATATATATATATATATATATAGACTTTGGATTCTCTAGATGTAAATGTAAAGTAATTACATAATAATACATAATATTTACAAGTATTTACATAATAATAAACCATCATTATTATCATTATTATTATAATACATCACCATGCACATTTGTATACTTCGCATACAAGCATAAGCACAAACAAAAGAAGAGCAAATTAATTACGGATATTCCACAGATCGAACGAAAAATAGCACATTATAGTTATATGGATTAATTTTGTGAGTAACATTTCGACATCTCTCACAGTTCATACCTGTCTGAGTCATCCCACAAACAATAGAATCTCAACACTCTTCGATCATATTGCAAGAACTGCTTGAGTGTATCTTCTTTTTCGTAAGGACGTAAAGCTTGCATGCTCTCTTTCATCTAAATATGGGACAGAAGAATTAGCTTTCTCTCGGAAGTCGACTCGTAAGCCTGTGGAAACATGCACTGAAGAAACATGTGAACATAATAGCACTTTGTCACACCTGCGTACGATGTTGTGAATAAGGATCGTCAGGGAATTCTTCTGTTTTTCCAACACGGAGACCGAGTTTGGTGAGAAAATTTCTCGTGAATTCATCACATCCCTAAAATGAATAGCGTTGAAAAAATATGTAGTACTAGTAAACACAATAATTACTATGCAAGAAGTATCACTCTCATCTACTTACAATAATTTTAAAAACTTTTGAGTATATATTGATTTCCTGTCCGACATTAAAGTGATCAACAGTGTAGAATTGGTCATCATTTGGCGGAGGTAAAGGAACGCGATGTCTTCGAATGAGTGTGCCTAAAGAGGATATTGAGTTAATGAAATAAATTTGAGCCAGAGTCCCTTTAGCCTACGCCATAGACTCAAGCTCGTTCTATATGACGTAAGCTAGTGCAATCTTGTATTTTCATACATGGTTTTCTTTTGTACGAACGCATGTCTCAAAGTTTTATTTGACAGTTATTGAATGAGCATGATATGAAGAACTATCAAGCCCGAAGTTTGTCTTATCAACCGAAACCGAAGGATGAGGTTGATAACCCAAACTGAGGCCTTGATATTTTTCGACATATCATGCGAAAACCGAATCCAATAATTGTTATATTATTTATTTAAAATATGAAACAGCAGCCGGTTGTAGGAAGCCATTTGTGCTATCATACAATTCCTCACTTCTTTGGCAGTCGTCATTGGCATGACATCATAGCGTTTAATATTATTTTTCATGTCAAGGTTATGACGTCACTCCGAACGAAGGCGAGGTGGTTATCGAGGAATATTCGCCGAGACGAAGTCGAGGTGAATATTCCCCGATAATCACCGAGCCTGAGGCGAATAATTGTTTTGGTACTTTTTGGGGACTGAATTTATTTTAATTTCGCTTATTTCTTTATCAGTATAACGTCCACAAAACGGCTAGCCGCCATTTTGAAAATTTCGGTTTTGTTATATTCACCTGTAGGTGAATATAACAGCTTAATACGTCATATTTGACCAATCAACTTGTTATGTTCACTTGTGCAAAAATACTAATATGTAATATGATAATTTCACAGTTCAAAAAATCATGAATTCTTTTAAATTAAATAAATAATAATTGCTCTTAACAAACCTTGAGGAATGCCACTGTTATCAACTTTTTGTTCATTTACTTGCACTCCATCGTCTTCCAGGTAAAAGTAGATTTTACACCTATACAAAATTAAAATTTAACTTTACACATAATGCATTAAAAATATTCAAAAATTAAAAAAAAATATGGTGGAAAAAGATAGCTCTTTCGAGAGCACTTTAGACCAGCCGGAAAGTTTATTTCACCCAGTCACTGAATCCGTACGAGATCTTACAGATTTGAAGAACGAAGAAAAACTAAATTCTATGGTCTTTTTTAAGTAAGCAGGCAACAGAAGGCCCATGTACAAAACGAAAACCACCAATTTGGGATATGAAAGGCCGCTATGCTAAATGGGAAGCCTGGAAGGTTTGTAGAATAGCACCCGTGACGAGCCTCAGCGGCGAAAACCTATTTTGGTTGAAACTAAATTTTAATCTCAACAAAAATTTCATCACAGCTTGAAAGAGCATCACAAAATTAGTAATATTCCAAAGTTTCGTTGCGAAATGTTGTAAAATGCGGAAAATATAGCCTTGCGAAGTT